AAAAAATCAAGGTGCAATTAAAAAATCAAGGTGCAATTTTAATCTTTTAGGTTACACTRTTTTTGCATGGGATTATATTCACAGCATGAAGAAGATAAGCAGAGCTTTATGTAAATKACTTAAACTATAAATACCAGCTTGTAAAATAAACTAATTGCAAGTAAGTTACATTATTAAATCAAGATAGGAACCATAATATTGTCCTGAGATATTTATGCAACAGAACCAGTAAAAGTCCTAAGATGAGAAAAGCCAATGCAACTCAGTGTTGATTTTCAAATACATTTTTACCCTTAGTAGATATTATATGCAGACAGACTTGAATGATTTGGATTTTGAATTTTTTATCTAASTAAAAGGTGGCTAACCATTGATGATTATAGTAATGTAGTTCAATTAAATAGTGAAACTAAACAGTTMGTTATTTTGTATAGTGCATAGATATAGAACATGAAGTTAGTCATAGCAAAATAGTTCATTTCATTAACATGTTTTTCTTCTTCTGAAGAAGAAACACTTCATGCAGRCACTGTTGAAACAGCCTCACAAAAGAAAGGACATACCTGGTATTTCTACTCGAAGTAAAGAAAGGAGTTTCAAAATAAAAATAGGTATCCAACACAGTGCATCAGTAAATACAATGAAGAAAAAACGTTTAGCAAGGATCATCTCTTTTTTAATATGGTTTCGAATTTCAGTAGCCATAATAGCTGTTTGGTGAACACTGTAGAACATGCTCCCATAGGAAAACACAATGATGATAAAAGCTGCCAAGTTTACACCTGTTTAAAAGTTAAAATTAATCATAATTTAAAAACATGATGGCAAYTCTACATCACCTATTTGCAGTCTGGGTAATAAAGAAGAACATTTAATCTAAACTGCCAGTTCCAAGGAATTCAGTCGCCAGAAAATGTGAGTCTGTCCTCAACTGAAGACTGAATTTTTTCCTTCACTCAGGTATTTATTTCACTCCTCATAACKGAAATGACTGCCATCTGATTCAAATGACATAGTTTTTCTCTGGTCTTACTATTGCTCTACTTCCCTAAAAAAGTYTATTAATTCAGAAACATAGTGGTCAATAATTTCTTTCTACTTTCTCAGCCYTTCATGCACTTCAAGATAAGTAAGTACACCTCTAATACAGTAAAATACTCATACTGGAAATAGTCTTTAAATGCTTGCTGGAGCATCTGAATCCAAGAAGGTGTGTACATCACAGCTATCTTATTCGTTAGAAAACTA